CGTGGCCCTCATAAGAACAAGACAACCTAGGGAGGAGGAGAAATAACTTTATATTTACCTTTCATATTTCTTCTTCTTTCTTGTTGCAAACTAATTTTTTGACTTAATTTTAACTGCTAATAGCACCGAACAAGAGCCAATCTATGAGAAAATTCAGTGTATGTTAAGGTGATTTACTTTTGAGAATGTACGATATGCACAAAGTATATAGTTACATGTAATGCAACAATTTGAAAATCACAATATTCAATTCAGTATCAACTACGACAGAGGACCTAAAATATAAATAAAATTCAAAGTTGGTACCTGCAGCATGTCAGCATGATGATTGTTATGCAACTTAGGCAGATTAAGATCACTAGCAAGTCCTGAAGAAACTTTTCTCTGATTTCGCTTACTCCTTCAAGAGATAGTGAAAGATACAGGTCTCAACAGAAATCAGCAATAAACTGACATGTCATTAATAAGTACAGAGGTACTCCTTCTCCAAGATACTCTCTTTTTCTTCGATAGTTGCAGGACATTTCATTCGAAATTGATTGTTGTGTTCTAATACCAATTGTTGTTGAAAACCGTGTCGAGGAACCAAACCAAACGCCGATCAAAGAGGGCCAAAACCCAATTGTTGTTGAAAACCGTGTCGAGGAACCAAACCAAACGCCGATCAAAGAGGGCCAAAACCAACCAAAATCAATGCACCAAACCAAACGCCGATCAAAGAGGGCCAAAACCAACCAAAATCAATGCACAAACAAAACACTAATTTTTAACGTGGTTCGGCAATTGCTTACGTCCACGGGGCAAGAAGGGGAAGAGGTTTTCACTAATAGAGAAGAAGAGTACAACTTGAGATTACAAATCACTCGAAGGAACAATCTAATCTCACCAACAAAGCTCTTAATCTCTCCAAATAAACCCTTATCAAATAGTTCAGAAAATATCTTTTTTCTATGTTCCAAATATCCCAAACTCTTGCCTTAAGAAACCCTAGAACGTGTATTGATATTTATACAAACACCAAAACCAAATAAGAATAGGAAACCAAAACTAGGCTTTGACCCGATTGGCGGTCGACCGCCCAAAGCTCGCGATCAACCGCGATCTAGAGACAGAGACCAAAAAGTCCTACAGGGTCTCGCAGTCGACCGCGGCGGTCGACCACGCCAAATTCAGACTCCTACTCTGGCTTGTGCACGTTCGCGGTCGACCGGCCTTGCGTCGCGGTCGACCGCGCAGCTTCCAAACAGACTCATGCGCTTTCAAAACCTGTTCTTTACCAAAATTCATCGTGGTTTCTTCAATTCTTCACCTCGGCGAAGTTTCTACCAAAACTGAGCCGACACCAACCAAGCCAAATGCCTCACTTGCTGCTTCTCAATCCTTAATAAGTCGAGACTCAAACGGGAGTGCGAACACTCACCCAAACATCAGTATCTACTCACCAAATCGGCTGCATCATAAAGACTGCCTACGTATCCTCTTGCCCAAGGAATCAATCCTTCACGTAGTTCATCCAAACGGCCTCCAAAGACCCTCAATCAAATAAAAAAGTCTGCAACTCTTTCCTAATATCGCCGCCAACAGATCTGTAACTGATAGCGGTCCTAAACTAATACAAATCAAACACCTCCATCAGAGGTGAACTAATGACCGTATCCAAATCATTTCCACCAGCTGCAACCGAATCCAAAACCGATCAATCATCTGCATCCGAAATCAAATGATCCCCAACCTATGCCACCTCAGCTGGAATCCCAAATGACGCAGTATAATCTGGAGTATGTGGAATAAGTTCTACCCAACGTAAAGTAACATCACCCTCCACCTGCTGCGATATCCAAATGACCTGATCAACACTCTCCACCTGCTGAGAGTCAAAAGTGACATTCCTGCTCAGAACAAAATCAGAAGCTCCCAAACGATAATCAAATAAGCCTTCGAATCCCAAACACGCAATCGGATCAAATCTCACATCATCGATGTGACCAAATGCTGTGTAACCAAATATCCGACGCCAACCAAAATCTGAAGAAGCTTCACCAGATCCAATAACTCCTAATGCAGCAGTTGACGACCTATGACTAAGATGACCCAAATATATCGAAACTCCAGAACCAAAACCAATGCTCCACAACCAATGTCGATCCTCCTCCAGAAAGGAACGAATCATCGAAACTGTCATCTCATCTCGTTTTCCAAAAGTCTCCACATCAATGAAGTGTTTCAAGTTGCCATGAGCTCGGCACAAATGCAAGAAAAGACCCCTACCAAAGCTAGAACAATGAGTTACCTTTCTGCCAATACACTTTTTCCAATTGTTGTTGACTTCTAGGACTTTACACCAATAGGAACTGGTCGTGACCCAAAAATACCTAGAACAATCACCAACTGCGGAAACTACAAAACGATTACCTTCCAATGATGCCTCCTTGGAAGGTCCCCAAATGCCTGACTGAACACCTCCTAAAAGACCTCTCGCTCGATGGATAGAAGTGCTAAACTCCACCATGGTCTTGCTCATCCCAATGTGCTCAAAGGACTTCCATCTGCAGGTCAAAACACTCCTCAACAACCTATGCACGGTATAACCAATCAAATACCCCAGTACCAAATTACGCCACAATCTAGCCAAATCCAATGAAGTCGTCAGAGCTCTATCAATCACCATGCTCCCAAGCAAATAGTATAAGTTACTCCTTCTGACGCCCTTCATCACAATCATGAACCCAAATGTAACCTTCAAACGTGCATCTGTCAAGGTCATCATATAGCCTGCTGCCTCCAAAGCTCTAAGTGAAATGATGTTCTTCTTCAACTGAGGAAAGAACCTCACTCCAACCAACTCCCGAATCACTCTGTCACTCATCCTAATCCGAACGGTGCTAATACCACCAATAGTGCATTCATGATCATTACCCATGAGCACAAAATCTCCTCTTTCCAACTCCTAAAAGCTGAAGAACCAATCCCTCATAGGACAAATGTGGTATGTAGCACCCGAGTCCAACATCTACTCTGTAGAATAGGCAACACAAACTGACGGCAGTGCAGATAATGAGTAGCCCAAAGAATCCGAATCTGAATCGTTGCCACTAGCCAACACAAACTGACGGCAGTGCAGATAATGAGTAGCCCAAAGAATCCGAATCTGAATCGTTGCCACTAGCCTTGACAACATTCACATAATGAGTAGCCCAAAGAATCCGAATCTGAATCGTTGCCACTAGCCTTGACAACATTCACCTCTGAAGCTTGAATAGCTTTCCCCTTATTTTTCCCGGCTTGATCATTCAACTTTGAGCATTCAGCTTTTTAATATCCATCTTCTTCACAAAAAGCACACTGATTCCTACGAATTTCAAGATGTGCCCCTCTAGACTATGACCTTCTACCTCGGTTTGGACCATTTTCTCTTGCAACCAATGTCCTCGCTACCGGCTCAATAGAAGTCTCATTGTCCTTCTTTCTAAGTTGGTAATTCACTAATGCAGCAGTGACCTCACGATATGAAAGAGATACATTCCCATTAATAAAGTAAGGAAAAACGTCTTATATTCCTCGTCGGGCAAGGAACTCAACAATAGCAACGCCTTATCCTCATCTTCAATAATGATATCTATATTCGCTAAATCTGCAAGAAACTTCGTGTAGTGGTTCATGTGATCACTAATGGATGTCCCCCTCTTCAATTAGAAGTGATAAAACCTCTTCTTCAAAAGCAAGCGGTTTTGTACGCTCTTCGTCAAGTACTTGCTCTCTAGGATTTCCCAAATCTTCTTAGCTGAAGTCTCATTCATCACATCATATTTTAGATCTTGAGTGAGACAAGACCTGATCACACCACACGTTGTCCGATTCATCTTTTTCCAAACCTTCTCATCAATGTCGTCCGGTTTCCCGTCCAACTCCAATGTATCTTCCAAATTCTATGCATTGAGTGCATCCAAGACTTCGCATCGTCAAAGTCCAAAATTGTTAGTGTCATTAAACTTCTTAACGTTAATCTTCATCGAGTGGATACTTAAACTTTGGATAGTCTTCACACCTGAAGAACTACCCTCAACTTCTCTTTCTCGGCCATAATCCTCAACACACCAACAACCAGTGCGAAAACTGAGAAAAAAAAAGCTTTACCAAAAAAGATCCCACCTTTCTCACCAACTGAAACCCTAGACGAGCTTCCCAAATCGATCTACTCCTCCAAATAGCCTAAGCGTAACCCGAGCTCTGATAACAATTGTTGTGTTCTAATACCAATTATTGTTGAAAACCGTATCGAGGAACCAAACCAAACGCCGATCAAAGAGGGCCAAAACCAACCAAAATCAATGCACAAACAAAACACCAATTTTTAACGTGGTTCGGTAATTGCCTACGTCCACGAGGCAAGAAGGGGATGGGGTTTTCACTAATAGAGAAGAAGAGTACAACTTGAGATTACAAATCACTCAAAGGAACAATCTAATCTCACCAACAAAGCTCTTAATCTCTCCAAATAAACCCTAATCATATAGCTCAGAAAATACCTCTTTTCTGTACTCCAAATATCCCAAACTCTTGCCTTAAGAAACCCCAAAACGTGTATTGGTATTTATACAAACACCAAAACCAAATAAGAATAGGAAACCAAAATCTGAGCTTTGACCGATTGGCGGTCGACCGTCCAAAGCTCGCGGTTGACCGCGATCCAGCGACAGAGACCAAAAAGTCCTCCAGGGTCTCGCGGTCGATCGCGGCGGCCGACCACGTCAAATCCAGATTCCTACTCTAGCTTGTGCACGTTCGCGATCAACCGGCCTTGCGCCGCGGTCGACCGCGGAGCTCCCAAACAGACTCCTGCACTCTCAAAACATGTTCTTTACCAAAATTCATCGCAGTTTCTTCAAACCCCCAACCAGGAAGGTAGGTAGACGTACGTTTAATTCAAGGTCATTTATTATCAATTTCCCCAAAGTTCAGCTTGCCAATAAGCCATCATACTGCTACTGTGCTACATAAGGTTGCATTGTGGAATTCATGTTCTACAATATATTTATCACTTAATCCCCATTTATCAACAACTTCTGTTCTTGCATACACAAAAGCATCAAAGCACTAGAAAAAAAACATGCCATAGAGAACACGCTACAAATACCTAGAGGTATACTCTATTTCTGCCAAACTTCTAACCTCTCTTCTTCACCTTCACTCCCACTTCTCTCATTTGCTCCGTTTAGACTCCATAAATCTCTTTTTCCTCTTCACTATCACAATCACCTTCACCATCACCAAAATCCTCCCAATCGTTACCAATCCCCGCCTTCAAACAAAGCTCCCACCCCATCACCCTCGTCATAATACTCCTCTTGTTCATACCGCTTCAAAGATATCATTGCGGAATCATGTTATGTTACTCAATTCCATTTTATCCACAGCTTCTTCCTTCTTATACACAAAGGCATCAAAATTCATGCAAAAATATACCCTCTGAGAACACTCTACAGACAACTAGTGGTATCTTACTAGTCTTACCAAACCTCTAACCTCCCTTCTCCATCTTCACTCCAACTTCTCTTATTTGCTCCCTTCAGACTCCAAAACTCCATAATCTCTTTCCCATCTTCATCGCCAAGATCACCTCCACCATCACCCAAATCCTCCCAATCATTGCCAATCCCTGAATCAAGCAGCGCTCCAAGCTCATCGCCTTCGTCCAAATACTCCTCTTCCTCTGCTTCTCCGTCATCCTCATCCTTATCTTCATTAATAGAATCAAGTCCTCTCCTCCTCGCCCTCCTCATCCTCCCATCTCCTCCAGCTCCTCCTTCACCCTGACCATTTCATCCTCAACCATCAACTTCCCTCCATCATCATAAGCCTCCACCAAGAACACCGAATCCCTCTCTCCCTTAACGCTAACATAAAACATCTCCGGATGTCTTATCAGCATCGCCCTCAGCTTATTCGGCAAACCAAACTCCTTCCTAAAATGCGTCAAATGATCCACAAGCGTCCTCTTCTCCACGGTCATCCCCAGCAACTCCCTAACCAACGCACACGCCCTCCTCTCCTTCTCCTCCACACTCATTCCCCCCTCCAGTTTCCTCACATACGGATTAATCTCCGGCAATTCCTGAAATCTAATCAAATAATCCAAATGCCGCCGTTTCACATTGAGCCCCCTTCTCAGTTTCACCTTCTTGAATTTAGGGGGCCGGTCAATTATGGGCCGGTCTGATGCCAACGTCGACGGGGTGGGCATCACGGCGGCGAGGTTGGGGTCGCAGGAGACGAGCTCGAGGGCGCGGCCGTAGGATGTATCGACCGGCTCGAAAGAGGTCGGGGTGCGAATTGCAAATGCGGAGCGAAAGTTAGCTGGGAGTCCCAGGTCGGGGCGAGGTGGACGAGCTTGGAGAGGAGAAGCGCGGGTGAGAGGAGAGCATGAGAAGCTTCTGCAGCTTGACGGAGGAGGTCGTGAGTGCGGGAGAAGCAGGGAGAGGCGGCGGGGGCGAGGGAGACGGAGAGGAGGCGGGAGGCGGACGAGGAGGAGGGGGAGGCGGCGTGGAGGAGGCGGAGAGGGTGGGGTAGCGGAGGATCATGGGGAGGAGGGGCGGCGGGGAGGGAGGGAGAGGTAGGGCGGCAGCGGGAGAGATGCGGAGGGGGAGGAAGTGCGGGGTTTGGATAGGAGGAGGGTGGTCAGCTTGCGGACGAAGCGGAGGCGGTTGTGGGCGGAGCGGCGGTCCAGGAGGGCGCGCGACGATTTTGGGGCGGGAGGAGAGGCTACGGTGAGAGGACGAGGAGGTTTTCTCGTTGTTTCTGTTGTGATTAAAGGGTTTGTTGGGGGTTTGATGGAGAAGATGAGCGGATGAGGGAGGGATGATGGGGGGATTGATTTTGGAGGAGCGATGAGGAGGAGTGAAGAAGACATCATGGTTGGTCTGTCGGGCTAACAGAAAATGGAAAGGATTTATTTGCGAAAAGGGGGGAGGTGTTTTGAAAGCAAGGGATATTTGATTTGAAAATTCTAGAATTCAAATCTAAAATTTGCAATTTGAAATTTAATTTCAATTCTGTTGTTTGGGGATCATTAGAATTCCTACTCTAGAATTTTAAATTCCAAATTAATTATTTGGTAAATGTTAGAATTTAAAATTTTAGAATTTCCGATTCATTTATTTGGAAACTACTAGAATTTGTTGTATAACTAATGAAGTAGAGAAGAAAAGTAGACAAGAAGTAGAGAGAAATTTTATTTCATTCGTTCTTCATTGCTATATCCAAGTGAGGTAAGAATACCTCTATTTATATACAAATTAAGATGATTATACACGAATCATATTAATTACTCATTCATGAACTTAGTCTTTCAAGAACATGCATTGTGTTGTTCTACGAAGAAGATTAATGTACTAGGGGAATATCAACTTCTTGGGAAACTAAATGGACATCCACATTAATTCATAACACTCTCCCTTAGATGTCCAACATTACACAAAGAATATGCCTTGTTAAAACCTTATTAGGAAAAAATCCTAGTGAAGGAAAAAGTGTACACTATTCTTGTGTATTAGTTTCTCCCCCTGATTCAAATATCATTTGAGATCTTTCAACCGACGCATTCCAATATTTTTTACCAATTTCTCAAAAGTTGCAGTCGGCAATGCCTTGGTGAATAAATCTGCCAGATTATCACTTGATCGAATTTGTTGCACAACGATTTCACCATTCTTTTGAAAATCATGTGTAAAGAAGAATTTTGGTGAAATGTGTTTCGTTATATCTCCTTTAATATATCCTCCTTTTAATTGAGCTATAAAGCTGCATTGTCTTCAAACAAAATAGTCGGAGGATTTTCATTTTCAGGCAATAATCCACTATTCTTCCGGATATAGTGAATCATTGATCTTAACCAAATACATTCTCGACTGACCTCATGAATTGAAATTATTTCAGCATGATTCGAAGAAGTGGCAGTAATTGATTATTTCGTAGGTCGTCATGAAATGACGGTGTCACCACATGTAAATAAATAACCAGTTTGAGATCTTGCTTTATGCGGGTCAGATAAATACCCAACATCAGCATACCCAAGCAATTCAGGTCGAGAGTTATAAGAATAAAATAAGCCAAGATCAATTGTTCCTTGGAGATAGCGAAAAATATGTTTTATATCGTTCCAATATCGTTTTGTAGAAGATGAACTAAATATTGCTAATAAATTCACAGAAAATGATATATCTGGTCTTGTACAATTAGAAAGATACTGCACATATTGCACTGAGATATGGTACTTCAGGATCAAGAATCTTTTTATCTTCTTCTTTTAGTCTAAAAGGATCCTTAGCAGGATCAAGTGACTTGATAACCGTTGGGGTACTTAATGGATGTGCTTTATCCATATAGAACCGTTTTAATACCTTCTGGGTATAAGCAGTTTGGTGAATAAAAATCCCATTTTCTAAATGCTCAATTTGTAAACCAAGGTAAAAATTAGTTTTACCAAAATCTTTGATCTCAAATTCTTTCTTCAAATATTCAATCGCCTTTTGGAGCTCTTCAGGAGTTCCAATCAGATTAAGATCATCAACATTTTCAGCAATGATCATAAAATTTGACTCATTCCTCTTTATGAAAACACATGGACATATAGGGTCATTTGTATAACCTTTTTTGACTAAACATTCACTAAGACGGTTATACCACATTCGTCCAGATTGCTTGAGTCCATACAAAGAACTTTGCAACTTAATGGAGTACATTTCTCTAGGATTTGATTTACATGCTTCAGGCATGCTAAATCCTTCAGGGATTTCCATATAGATATCATTATCTAATGTTCCATATAAATAAGCAGTGACTATGTCCATTAGACGCATATCAAGTTTTTCATGTACTGCTAAACTCACAAGATATCTAAATGTAATTTCATCCATTACTGGAGAATATATCTCATCATAATCAAATCCTGGTCTTTGTGAAAATCTCTGGGCTACAAGTCTTGCTTTATATCTCATAATTTCATTTTTCTCATTTCTTTTCCTCACAAATACCCATTTATATCCTACTGGCTTTACACCTTCAGGTTTTTGGACTACAGATCCCAAAACTTTTCGTTTAGCCAGTGAATCTAATTCAGATTGGATCACATCTTTCTATTTTGACCAATCATTTCTTCGCCGACAGTCATCAACCGATCTGGGTTCATTATCCTCGTCATCTTCCATAAAATCAAGTGCTACATTATATGCAAATGCATTATCGACAATTACTTCTCTTCGGTTCTAACTCTTTCCTGTAATAACAAAATTTATTGAAGTTTTATTTTCTTCAGGAGTTGGCTCTTCAGGAGCGACCTCTTCAGGAAATTTATTGAAGTTTTATTTTCTTCAGGAGTTGGCTCTTCAGGAGCGACCTCTTCAGGAGGTTGAATTTTGTCATTAGCAATATTTGTTGGCTCTTCAGGAGCGACCTCTTCAGGAGGTTGAATTTTGTCATTAGCAATATTTTGATCATTCGATTCTTTTTCCTTTCGAGGATTCTTATCTTTAGAACCAAGAGGTCTACCAAACTTCAGGCGTGCTTTAGATTTGTTAGCACTTTTAATTTGTCCTTATGGGATATCAATTTTAATCGGAGTATTTTCTGCTGGAATATGCGATTTAGTAATTCTTCTAGAATCACTAAAAGCATCCGGTGATTGGTTTGCAATTTTCTATAAATGTATAATCCTTTGAACTTCCAGTTCACATTCTTTTGTAAGAGGATCAAGAAAGTCTAATGATATTTTCCAAGTAATTTTCTTTTTTGGTTGATCTTTACCTCCCCCTAATGTCGGGAAATATGATTCATCAAAATGACATTCTGCAAATTTTGCAGTAAATAAATCACATGTTAATGGTTCAACATATTTAATTATAGAAGGTGATTCATACCTGCAATCTTCTTTGAGGGCCCATTTTAGTACGTTGAGGCGGTGCAATAGGAACATATACTGCACAACCAAAAATTCTTAAATAAGAAATATTAGGCTCGTGACCGAGAACTAATTGTAAGGGATAATAAATATGATAACTTATCGGCCTAATTCTCACAAGTGTTGCTGCATGTAATATAGCATGTCCCCAAGCAGATAAAGGAAGTTTAGACCTCATTAACAATGGCCTTACAATTAATTAAAGTCGCTTAATAAATAATTTGGCTAGACCATTTTGTGTATGAACACGAGCTATAGGATGTTCAACACTTATCCCAGTAGCCATGCAATAATCATGAAAGGCATGTGATGAATATTCACTAGTATTATCTAGACGAATTTTCTTAATGGGATAATCAGGAAATTGTGCTTGCAATTTAATTATCTGAGCAAGCAATCTCGCAAATGCTAGGTTGCTACTAGATAATAAACTTACATGTGACCATCTTGTTAATGCATCAATTAGTACCATAAAATATCTAAATGGTCCATATGGTGGATCTATAGGCTCACATATACCACCATGAATTCGTTCTAGAAATGCAGGGTGTTCGCGGTGAAAATTGCCTTCATTGAATTCATTGTTATCTCAAGTAATTGCTTTTTGGTTACAAAAGATCTGGTCTTTTTTAGATCCGGTTACAACAAAATTAAAGAAAAAGAAAAAGATTACAACTTTCCTTTCGAACGAATCACGAGCTCCTGTTTTGCGGTCGCTCGCTTGTGTGGGTTCTTTGCCAACGCCGGGGTTAATCCGTGGACCACCGCGCGATCTAGATCTGGTCAGATCTACACGATTTGACGGGTATTATTTCGCGAAAGAAATAATAGCCGGGGGGGATTAATTCACCAAGGAAATAATCGCCCTTAGTTCTCGGGATCAAAGGCCAAGCTTTGATCCGGAGTATGATCTCGTGTAGATCTCAGATCTGATCTCTCTCTCTCTCGAACTCCTGCCTTTTGTGATGTGGATGCTCACCGAGAACCAGATCTGGATATTCAAGTCCTCAAGTATTCGAAACTCCAAGCTCAATTCTCAATTCGGCAGAGTTTCGGCTCTCAAAGTTCCAACCTTTGACAAATGAACCAAGGGGGCCTATTTATAGGCTCTCTGAACTGTGCCCGCGCACAGATCTGGGCCGGCCACCTATAGGTGGCCGGCACTAGGCCGAGCCCCCCTTAGGCGTGGTTTTCCATTTTCGGTTCAGTCTGTGATTCCGTTCTTGTGGTTGTATTATCCGGACTTGAATCGTTGACCTGATTTGGCAGTAAATCCGATTCCTGATTTGGCAGTAAATCCACTTCTGAGTTCGAGTCCGAAACTGATCTTGATTCGATCGTGATTCGTCCGAGTCGCGCCTTGGATGGATGACTCGTTGACTCTTCAACCCCGTTAGCTTGATTCCGCGACGTGAGTGGATCTATTCCCGTGTTTGCGTGCGATTCGTTAACCTCGTCGCCTCGTTGGTTCGTCGTTTGTGCTGAGCTGTGCTAAGGGATCTATAAAGTAATTTTATACGTCACAACAGATACCCCCTCCAAAGTTTTTCAGCCTCGTTCTTTTATAGAAGAGTCTGGAATGCTTTGGATATGATTGCCCCAACCTTCAATCGGTATGACGGGACTTCGGAATGGCTTCTGTTCTTGATTCCTTCAATCCTTCAGGCTATTCGGTGCTTTGTCGAATGTCTGTATGGTTTTCGGTGCTGCATTTATTGTCTGACCGTTGTCGGAATTTCGAATTTGAAGTCGATTCCTGATTTTATGACCTTTAGCTCATGTTTGTTGGTTCAACATAGAACTGACTCTTGAATGTTGACGTTGAGTCTTTATTTGCGACGCGTTGTCTGGCGTAGTGTTATTGAGTTATCCTTAAGAATATTTAGAAAAATATTCTCCAGGAACTTCTCAACCAAAAATAGGGAACAGTTTATACTCATATACCTTATTGGAGTAAT